TATAAGTCTTAAGTTCAGTGGGAGCTTGCAAACCAAACTCTGAAATTTAAAACTAAGAATAATGGTTAAGGCTAGAAAACTTTGTTAATCTAAAACTCTGAACTTTAGATGATTGTCAGAAGAGAGCTTGCAAACCTCGCTCTGAACAATCAAACTAAAAAAAATTGAAGTCTAAAACTTAGGGGAGCTTACAAACCTAACTCTGAATTTTAGCCCGCTTAACTGATTTTTGAGATCTTAATGAAACAAAATTATTTTGAGTCTTAAACTTACGAGGAGCTTGCAAACCTTACTTTGTAGATTTAAGTTCAAGAAATAATTTTAAAAGTATAAAACTAAGAGAAAGCTTACAAACCTATCTCTGAAATTTTATAACATTTGATAAAAAAATGTTTATCATAATACATGGATATGTCATCATCAAAAAGGGGGAGATTGTTGGAACAAGTTTGGTTCTACAACTATCCTTAAGTTTTGATGATAATAAAATGTAAGAGAACAATTTTGTACTCTAACCAGTTTGTTAATTGTGCAGAAAAATTTGAACAAATTCTAACTCTGAAGATGTCCAGATTCTAAACCAAAGAAAAGAAGCGTTCAAACAAGTCAACTCTGATTTATTAAAGTCAATGTTCTGAATAAAATTTCTCAAGACTAACTTTGCTATTTATAGCTCTTACTATTTGCTTGTGAAGTCTCAGAACCTAGCATTCAAAGACTATAAAGTCACACCAATAAATTCTGAAGACAGACCTTGGAAACACAACTCATGCTTCAACAACAAATATCAAAAGCCTATTGTTGCGGTGAGAATCGTGATACCAAGCTATTGATTAACTTGAATCTTAATTCATTAAATTCACAATCGGACTTTAATTTATCCAAAGGAAAGGGTAAAGATCGAAGAAAACCCTAAGTGCGCCATGTAACAACACAACTAAGAGATCTAAGGTTCGGGGTTGGTTATACATAGGGAAGGTGTTAGCATCCTAAGTATCTGTAGTACTCTACAGGAACCTCTTGTTAGTATTTGTGTTATGCTAAATTTGCTTGCTAAGGGAAAAATGTTAAGGTAAAGATCTAAAGTATATACAAAGTATGTTCGCCAAGACATCGTATCTCGTGCCTACGTATCCTGATGGAAATGGACTCAGAGCAACCGTAGTTCCCCTCAATGGGGGTGAGGAACTCTTGACTGTGGTCAAGGTTCCAAAGGGAAAATTAAATGTCTGTGGTGAGACACCTACATAGAGTGCGGAGACTCTAAACTATGATTAAGTTAGCAAGAAAGAGAATGTCCACGGCAGGACGACTAAATAGAGCACGGCGACTCAAGTCCTATGGTAAAGGTAAACCAGGAAAATATCCACGACGAGACGACTACCTGGAGCACGACGACTCCAATCCTAAGTTGTAAATGTTAACAGGAAGTTAGTTGTTAGTGAGCTCGTGGGCTTGAAAATTAACATAAAAAAAAATCCTACATATTTATATTTCTAAATATAAATCAAAGATGAAAAAGAGTAATTCATAAAAATAACTAAAAATATTTATTTGAAATTTTTTATAACAAAAAAAAGTTACTAAGCTAAAACCCTTAAAAATATTGACTAAAACTAAACTAAAAAAAAACTAATTTAAAAAAAAAAAAGCATTACTAAATCTATAAAAAAAGAGTTAAGAACAAATAATATTTTTTTTAAAAGAAGCACAAAATGACAATAGCAATGGGCTGACTAAAAAAAAAGGTGGAGCCCAAGCTTTAAGCAAAGATCCTGGGTTGGATCGGTGTACCGGGTCGGAAAGAGATGGGTTAAAATGATCCAACTTCAGGCAGCAAAACAACGAACTAAAAAAAACCTAGTCGTTCAAACTAACATAGAATTCACTCCTCTATTCTCCTCAAAACACGGTCCAAAAAAAACATCAAAGGCATCAGAAAAACGATTCAAGTTCTTCTCAAATCACTCAAACATCACTACCTCAAATCGTTTCCTAAGTCGTGAATCCCTTTTCCTCAAGATCGACTCTTCCGCGATTTCTCAACTTCCATTCGCGATTCCTATAGTCTTCATCTTTCTCGTGCGCGGCGATGATCGAGTTGAATGGAAGATGAATGGTTTCGATGGTGGTATGCTGCTGCAGTTATTGGGAACTCGTTTTGGAAGAGGAAAAAAATAGTTTCGCTCAAAGGTTATGAATCTCCACCTCTTGATTCGAATTTTTCTGGTGAGGGAAGGAAAAAGGTTTGGATGTTTTGCTTTTTGTTGTTGAATGAAGAAGAGAAATTTTTTAGAATGTGAGTTATTATTTTCTGAGTTTTCTGTGATGAAGCAAGATAAGGTGAAGATGAGAAGGTTCGTGGATTTGGATGAGGGAAGCTTAGAGGAAGTTGAACAGTGATTGAGATGAAATGTGTAATAATATGTGTGTCATGAAAAATGGGTGTAATTATGAAAATGAGGAAGGTGGTTCTTGTATTTTTCGTATACACAAGTTTTTTCTTGGTTTATGGGAGGTGACATTAATGTGTTCCTTGTGTGGCCTTTTAAGTGGTAATGGATATGTGTATGGTTTATGTGGGTTACCAGAGAAAGAAAAAAAAAGGTCAAGAGTGAGTTAGTGCCTTCCTAGGTGGGTGACTTGTGGAGGAAGTGAAGTACTTTTGTACTATTACCATAAAATTTGGCAAAAAATCTCCTTTATGTACTATAAGATCAAAACTTTTTAAAAGTTCCACAAAATAAGGAAAAGATACACATAAAAAGAATAAACTATTTACAATAAAATGTAAAATAAATATTTGATTAATTAAAAGAATATGTTAATTAAAAGTAGAAATAAAGACGGTAAAAAAAACGAATAATTGGACGGTATCGAAGTGCTCGAAAAAAATAAAATGAATACACCAAAATGATCAGCGTAAAATATACGATTCGGAAAATACAGCGTTTTGTCAAATTTTGAAATAAATTTTACCGGCTAAAACGACTTAAACTGTCAAAAAATGCTACCGAAAAGTTGTCAAAAAATTTTAAATGAGCACACCAGGTTAAACTACGTGAAACATAGATTAATATCACTGACGTTTGCAGGCTCGATTTTAAAATTTTCCATCTACTGATTTTACGCACAATTGACTTTTGGTTTGACCGATTCGGCTGTAATTCGAAAAAGTTTATTTCAGCTGATAAATTAGGTATTATGCAAGACATGATAAACAACACAGATGATGCAAAAAGATGTGGAATTTTAGAGTCAAAAATTAGGGTGTGACACCTATGAATATAAGTTGTCCAAAAGTCAACAAAATATTTGATGTGACAGACGTACAGAAGCAAATATACTTTTTCCATAAAGTATTGTACTTTGTGTAAAAAAAGTGTTTTGCGTCCAATCATGTTCACCAACTACAGGCTACAGCGCCACTCTAGCATTTTGTTTGAAGTGATTTTCTCCAACGAATAGTTAGAGGATATTTTCATATTCATCTCCAACAGATCTATTTTGCATCTATTTAAAGAGGACATTAAAGATTGAAAAGGGTGACAAAAGAAAAAACGTATTTAAGAAGCACAAAAAACTACATCAACGCTCATACTCAGAAACAAATAAGAAGTGTTGTTTACACTTATACACTTAGAACAAAGACTTGATTGTAAACTCTTGTATCTGCTTTTGAGAAACATCTGTAAACACAATTATTATTACAATTTTGATTGTAATCCTCAAGCAACTAGATTAGGTCAGGCTCTTAAAAAGTGAGTAACATGTTGTTGTTGAGAAATCTTCTTAAGCGACCAGTTGGGTCAGGTCTTAAGGAGATAGTGATTGTCAATTTTCTTAGGAGACTAGTTGGATCAGATCCTGAAGAAAATTGAGACAGGTTGTCACAACATTTGTAATCGAGTGTGATTATTAGATTAAGTCTTTGTCGAAGGCAAATCACTCATGTGGATGGACTTGAGGTAGCCTTGTAACGGCGAACCAGGATGAAAATCCTTGTGTTTTTTATCATTCTATTTGTTGTCAATGTATTGTTTTAGGTTGCAAAAAGTTATCATTCTTGAGACCCAATTAACCCCATTTTTCTTAAGGAATGGTAAAGGAAGGAAAATATTAGGAAACCTAATTTATGTTGGTTCATATAGGGCAACATACTTTACAACTCGGATGACTGTTTCATAACCAACACAAATGAAAAACCTGTTGAATTGAAACAAGAAAATGGTGTGCTCTACATTTATAAATTGATTGAAGTCTTGTTTTGTTGAGAAGATCAAGGTTAATCTCAATTAAAGATCAAGTGCAAACAACTATTTTATTTTTAATATTTTTATTTAAAAATTTTATTAAGGAGATTAGTTGTAAAAAAAAAAAAATCTCAAATCCTAAACAAATTATTCAACTAGTATAAAATTACTCATTTATTATACAGTCGTCATTTAAGTATGGGCATAGATATTTTGTAAATGAAAATTTAATGTCCTATTCAAGAAGACAAGTGGTATAATAATGGCGTAATGAAGGATGAAGTCAACAAGGTTAAATACAACCAACCAAGAAGACATTTTCCAAAGAGGTGGATGGCTCACGTATTAGGAAGATTACAACCAACATTATTAAATAATATTAATTAGATCTTGTCCTAAATGAATATAGTTGCAACAGCATTCTTTTGTAGAATAATAAATATTCTTCATAGAAAGAGTTTGCTTTTTTATTTTGAACGTGCACATCGTGTCTGGTTGGTGCACATTGTGTCTGGTTGTCTCTATTATTGCGTAATTTTTTTCGAGTGAAATGACCAAAACGAATTATAATTATTTGGAACAGAAACTAGTCTATGTTCTTGAAAGTAAAGCTAAGAACTCTTTATTCAGAAGGTAAAATCACTTGGTCAAATTAATACTTACACATGAAGGACATACATGTTAGCAGTAATTCAATCAAAGGTTAACAGGGCACCTTCTGTCACATGCTTTTGAGTCATGTGTACATCAACTGTGACCTCTATCTTTCCGTTTCCTAGCTTTACTTCGCAAAGCCGAAACATGAGCGCTGTTTTCAGTCTCCTGAGTTGAAAATATATATGTGAAAAAACTAGATGTGTTTACCCGTGCAGAAAATCCCAGGTGTAAAATCCATGGAAGAAATGAAAAAGCATTTGAGCATGAAAAAATTAACAGAAGTTTGACATAGTAAATGTATAATGTTATGAACTCACCCTTGTTGCAATCATGTGTTTAAGGCCAGCAACGAGCTCAAACAAATACTTATAAGCACCTGCATGTGGCTCCTGCAAAAACGAGAATTCGATTCAGCACTACGTCGTATTAACAAAGATGTTGGTAAATCATAACAGATGCTACCTCTATGTTTGGTGGCAGAGGCAGCCCTTCCACCAAAGGAGCTCTTGGAACCTGCACAACTTGAGAACCACCTGAACCATCGGGAAGCTGAACACTCCAACTTGGGGCATTATATATGCCTAATGACTTAAAGTCAAATTCGGGTCTAGACGCATCTTGAGGACTAGAAAAGGTTGAGGTTGAGGCCTCTATGTCCTTGTCAATAAAAGTAAGTTGGTTCAATTATCCGTCTCTGGCAGGCAATATAACATGATGATGAATATGAAAAATATGAGATTCATTTCTGGGCATAGCAAAAGATTCAGTGCAATTACAGTTCAAAGTGATAAAATATAAGGATGATTGGTCGGTTGAATAGTATGTTCAAGGGCTTCTGAACCTAATTGCTATATGATGTGAATATATGCAGCAAAACATCGTTTACATCTATTTGAATTTCTTATGTATTTACATGCAACTATACTTATTTGAGACTATAGTTAACACACACAATAGCAGAGGAACACTTATTGGAAAAGCTATTTGCTAACATACGATTTGAGAAGAGTCTAGTTTACTCAAGTCCATGTCATCAGCATCCAAATCCATATAAGGATACACCTAGGAAGCAAGCATTACAAGCGTCAGTAACAAATAACATTAATAGAAAGCAATAAAAAAAACATTTCAATTCCTTTTGAATGAATAATGTTAGTATAGTTGGTATGGTGTTTGGGCCGAGAATCAAACTTTCTATCTACTTATCAGTCTTAACAACAGTCTTACTCTTAGGACCAGAATGAACAATCTAAGAAAAATGGACATTTGGAACATGAAATTTTGTACAACAGGACCTTTTCATCTTAAAATTTGGCCTCAACCCAAAGCTAACTCAATGAGTGAGGATTAACTGTGTCTTCCGAGAACAACTTCGGCTATATCTCAGGTCAATGTAGGATAGGATCCCAAAGGAAATATGACATTCAATCTTTGTAAGATAACTAGATAAAAACTCGTTACCATGGGTTTTTCTGCTGATTTAAATGACTGAAAGGAAGGAGTTGCAAAATCAGGCCACTTCAATATTGCATATGCTCCTTCATTGTTATATCTCTTCCCCCCAAACTGCAATACATGAGACTTTTAAAGAGATATGATACTTCAGATGCTGCAGATCTCAATGTAACACGTCCTTGCATTAAGCTACATTTAATCACTCAAACACTACAAGTACACAATATATGTTTTCTTCAAACCAATATGTTTGTAACAGTTGAGATATTGTTTTATTATTATTCAGTATCTATTGCTTTTATTAATAGTATATATTAGGATATTATTTAAGATATTATTGTATCAAATCTTTCCTCCCTTAGTATATCTTCTCCTTAATTAGTGGGGTTGATTATGAGGCTTAGACCTATATGTATGTGTATTCTCTCCACATAATAATATAAGAAATACAGATTCAACTGTAACAATCCCCATATGTAGAGTTGCAGATGAATCTTACACCACTTGTTTGTTATGTATAAATGTTCAGCTATTTCCAAGATAATTTATTTGAAAATGTGCATTCCTACATACTAGATTCCTAAACGGAACACGCTCTTTACAACACCCGCTCTCTTATTGGGAAAAACTCACGTGGGTCCTATCATTTTGTAAATGGACCCGTGTAAATTTAACCTAATAAAAGAATGAGCGTAACATTAAGTATTGATAGTACTATGCTTCTTAAACAAACATCAGATTCTACTTTAAAAAAAATCATGATAATCTTAATAGACAATGGCATAAATTGGAAGCCAATGGCCAATAGTGCATGCTAGCATTTATTGCTATGACTAAGCTTGTTATCTTCGGTGTTCCCAACAATCAATCAGTGAACCATTATGAATTACGATATTGCTATGGAAAAAGTTGGAGGTGCAACAACTGCAATTTTTTAATTAATGAATAACAAAGTGCTAGTGTTATATGAAAATTTGAACCTGCGGGTAATCTGGAGCACTAAAAAGTGTATATAGCTTTCCTGACTCGCCGTCATGATCTATGCTGTATCCGTTCAACATATCCCCAAAATCATCCCTACCATCCCTTGCATCTGGTCCTTCATGTGATCTGATGATCAGCTATGCAGGAAGAGTAGTATTCATGAGCTTAAAGAATATCTATTGAGCCATCAAATAATGTTTAAAACGCTATGATTATAGCTTGCTGACAGGAAAATAATAATTTGGTAGAGTAGACATAAATGACATCAAATACAAGTTTAATAATTAGAAGATGCAGCAATCTTAATCGATCTACTTATTGCAATAAAATAAATAAGCATTTTGTTATTCTGTATTAGTTATGTTATTATTATTTGGAACATTACCTTCAAATTGTGCTGCTTTAAGAAAGCCTCGGTACAATCAGGACCACACCATAAACCTAATTTTCGACCTGCATTAACCCATAGACCATCCCTATTCGATGGTTTTGACCAGAGGATGTCACTCAATAATATGTTAGGACCCTCATGTGGAGAATCTATGCAAGTTCTTTTAACTTGAGATAAATCAGCTAAGGTACCAAGGTCCATCCTTTGTGTCATGTTCTGTTTTAGCTTTTCTGAAGAGGAAGCAGCAGCATGAATGCTGCGGAAAAACCCCCCATGAGTAGTGTAAACACGGTTGGCAATAACTGACGCTAATGGAAGTTCCTTGAAACACTCTAGGAATTTATTGTACACATCTTCACTTTGGTTGCCATATTTGGTCTGTACCTCCTTCTTAAAACCATATTGTGCAGTGCAATATTTTGATTCATGACTTCCACGGAGTAGATATACTCTGTGAGGCATCAAGACCTGAATATACAACGACAGAGTTTTACATACTGATAAAAAGTCGAAGATTAATATGTATCCGTTTTGTATTTGATCACAGTAAAAGTTGCTAAGTCATATAAATATTTCTATATAGTACTATTATGTGTTCTTTCTTTCTCCTCCTAGAGAATATGCACCAACAAGGCAACAACCCCCGGCAAATTCATGAAATATCTATAAATTTTCTAAGTCTGATCATTTTACCTTCCATGCTAGCAAGACCAACAACACCTCAATGCCCCAAGCTCCTTCATCAACATAATTACCATTGAAAACATAAAACTGGTTCTCAGAAGGCATTCCTGCATGCTTCAAAAGAAACATTAAATCATGAAACTGCCCATGTATATCGCCCACGACAATGACTTTTGAATCTTCTCCGAGGCAATTAATCTCCACACAGTTTGGTTCTTTACGTAAAACATTACAAGCAGCATCTATCAATTTTAACACCACAGAGGTCTGCACAGCATGACAAAATTCAGTTGGCAATGTCTTATGTGAAGCCTTCTCAAGGATGAACATCATATCCTGAACCCACTCAATGGTGACACAATCATCGGAAGGCCACAGAAGAAATTGCTGAAAGCATGATGACATTAGAGACTCTTCTACTTCATCTATCCCATTTTCAAATCTTAAAACCTGATCCACGTCCAACATCTCATCTTCTTCATGCATCATACTTTGTGCCTCATCAATTAGAATATCACCGTTGCCGATCTTGATCGAATCAACCACAGGACTATTACCCGCCTCTTCATCCACAAAGCAAACCTGTAAACTGATTAATGTACCTTAAGAGAAATCTTAAATGTAGACGAGAGGAAAAAGGTCCAAAATTACTGAGGCAATTGAAAAGAATAACTTATTTGCACTTATCTTGCAACACAAGCACTTGTTTAAGTGTCTAGAAAAGCTTATAAAAAGAAAGGTTATTATAAGTCCAAAACCTTTGTTATAGCTTAATTTCATAAGCTCCTCGAGATGGCTTATACATACAGCGTCATTTTCAAAGTTTAAGCTTGTTTCATCTTGGATTGCAGAAACAACTTATAAAAGCTCTTACATGATAAGACCTTAATGAATAAACACTTAATCAGGTTACATGATAAGACCTTGTTAAATGAATGCTTGATTAAGTTACATGATAAGAGCGCATTGAACGAACGCTTAATTAAGCTTTTTACTCAAAACACTTCACATAGTAGTATTAACCCCTTACTTCGTCTGCAAGTATCTCAGACCTAGTTATTGCGACTCTAGGTTGCTTATCAACAATCCCATCTGCAATTTCTTTCATCCTCAAAACTAAATGCATCCTCTGGTCATCCAAGCCTTCATAGGACATCCTACTTAACATACGGATGATATCTCTGGATGCACACACCTGCAAACTGCATCAAGTCAGCTCAAAGAGAGAGCAACAAAACATCCATACTAACAAAATCAATCACGAATAAATACACGAAAGAAGCAAAGTGAACCATTTTCTCAATGCTGTAACGCAACGCAGTAATCGCATCATTCTTAGTCACCTGTAAATAGCACTCAATCTGTGAGGAAGGAAAATTATGCACAAAAACATCATCAGCTTTTTATATCTCTCTATAACCTAACCTTTCTATCTCGACCATCAACAACCCCGCGAGCAATTTCTCTCATCATCACTAAGGAATGAACTTGCTGGTCATCTAAATTCACCAAAGACATTGAATTGATTCCTTCAAGAATCTTATGGCACCCATTTTTTATCATCTCTTTGTGATGCTCCATGACTAAAACTGCCAAATGTAACAAACTAAAGTAACCCATATGAAAATTTTCACTCAACGCATCATGAATATAGTTCAGAGTATACACTTAAAGCTTTGCACAATGATTCAAGTCATATGAGAAAGGAAATGCAAGAACTTTCAAGAGTGACGCATAGTGAAAAATGAAAACCCAAATAGGGGAATGAAAAAGGGAACTCACTCACTGGTGGAAACTACTTCCTTGAGTTCAGTGTGGAGCTCATAGCAACTGCAATTAAAGCGTCGAAATTCTACTTTACAGTGAACGATGCATGTGTTCCAGAGTGAAATGGGAATTAGGGTTTATTTGCAAGTGAAAATTAACTTGTATATATGTTTTTTAATATTTTTTTCTTAGGCAAAAGAAAATCTTTTAGAAAAAATTTAAAGTGCGATTCAACGAGGTAATTAGATATTAAAAAAATATATATATTAATTCTAATTAATTTAAATAATTCAATTTTTTTTATAAGCAATAACATATTTAAAGGAGTAGTAGGGATAACCAACCCAACAAACAGCAAATCAAAACTCATCTAAGATGACATTCCTACAATTTTACTAGGTTAATATCTTATAAAAAATCCGAAGGACATTTCATTCGTAAAAATTCATCTAATTTTATGAGGTGAACTTAAAGTCAACTACCACCAAGAGGAATGTAATGTTTTTTTGAAAGATTTAAGCTAGATTAGCAATAACATCATTAAATATCATACGATTTATTGTCTATGATATACACCAACATGTAGTCAGCCATATCAAACAAGCTGACGACTTCGCACCTATCCCTATCAATTCTATACATCATGCCAACATGTGCTCACCACAGTTTTCATGAGCAGTAGACGAAATTCCAACCCACTTTTCAAACTCCTTCCAAATCAATCTAATACGAGGGCATGAAACAAATACGTGATCATTATCTTCATCAACATGAAAACAAAAAACACATACTTTATCATGACTATTAGAAATAAAACATCTGTCAGCAAGATTAGACCGAGTTAGAAGTCTGTCCAATAACAATCTTCATCCAAAAACTTAAATTTCAGAGGTACCTTAGGTTGACACATAATGTCCAGTGCCATCTTGATGTTAGCACCCAATACATCTTGGCACTAGCCTACATCAATTGTTTGTAGCATGATTTTACAGAAAATTGATTGAGATAACCCCTAGGCCACCCAACAGAATCAACAATCTCGCAATGAGGCCTAACATCTGACACAAGCAACAATAAGTAATATGTTGTAAATGTGCCTTAAAACCTTTGTTTCGAAGAGAAAGAAAACATATTTTGGAGATTACATTTACCACAAAAATCGGAAGTTTTAGAAAGTCGAACGAAAAGTCGGGAAAAAATATCAGTCGGAGAATAGTGTTATCAGTACGGATGAATAGTGACATATGTACACATGAATAGTGACGTATGTACATATGAATAGTGTGTTTGTACGATGAATAGTGTTTTTGAGTTTTCGGGCTTTTTGGATTCGATCCATGGTTTCATGTGATTTTGGGTTTTGTTTGTTGGATATTTACTATTATAAATATGTATCTCTTATATGTTTGGTGTGCGACAATCTTAGAGTTTTCACCAACAAGGAAGATCAAGGGTTTAAAGGTATAGCATAGGGTTTCAACTATGCACAAAGAAAATCTTGGATTACACTTTGGGTTTGAGTGATTCATATATTGAGAGTTGGAGAGGTAGGGAAACACTTGGGTAGAAAATAAGGTTGTTCTTGGGCGCTTTCAAGGCTGTTCTTGGGAACCTGAAGGCGAAGGCTTTTTTTTAACTTATTTGTAATCTCTTGTAACAACTTTATGAGTATAGTGAATTAGAGAGTTGCTCTCTCCCCCAGAGTATATCGTTTGATCGAACTGGGTAAACAAACATTCAGTTTTTTCTTGCCTTATTCTGTTATATTATCTATGTACGGATTATTATTGTTGAAGACCATTTATTTTGGTTGATATTGTTCGTTGCCTCACAAATTGATATTGAATTTTATCGTAATTCACAACAAGATTCACAACAAGTGGTGCAGTGAGTGTGGAGCAAAGAGATATTGTTAATAATTGAGCACAATGGTTAGTAGATGGCAGATCGAGAAATTTTCCGATAGCAACAACTTCAGGTTATGGAAAATTAAGATGTAAACAATTTTAAGTCAAGAGAAGTGTATCGATGCTTTGAAGAGTGACGCATTGATGCCTGCAGGGCTTACACGGGTACAGAAGACCGAGATGGTGGATAAGGCCAGGAGTGCCATTATCTTGTGCCTCAGGATAAAGTTATAAAAGAAGTCGCCAGGGAGCAAACTATGGTTGCTATGTGGGCAAAACTTGAATCATTGTATATGATAAAGTCTTTGGCTCACAAGTTGTATCTGAAACAACAAGTCTATTTATTTCGAATGGTGGAGAACAAATCCACAGTTGAACAGCTCACAGAATTTCACAAGATTATCGATGATCATGAGAATATTAAAGTGAAGATTGATGATGAGGACAAGGTTTTGCTCCTGCTAAGTTCATTACCCAAATCCTTTGAGCACTTTAAGGATGCCCTTCTTTATGGTAAGGAAGGTACTATTACTTTGGATGAAGTCTAGATGACGGTGAAATCCAAAGAATTTTCAAAGTCGAAAGATTTGAAGATTGAAGATAGTGGTGAAGGCTTAAATGTGTCAAGAGGAGGAGGTGAGCGTAAAGGGATGTCCAAATTAAAGGGGTCTGATAAGTCAAAGGTAAAATGTTTTAATTGTTAGAAAATCGGTCACTTTAAAAGGGATTGTCCTGAAAGAAAGGTCAATGAAGATTTTGTTCAAGTTGTAGTTGCATTTGGTGAGGAAAGTTATGAGGACGTCGAAGCACTAGTAGTATCGAGTTTGGGAACTGAAGATAGTTGAGTCATTAACTCAGGTTTCTCTTATCACATGTGTCCAAGAATAGAATACTTTGAAACTTTGAAGATGGTGCAAGGTGGAGTAGTTCGTCTTGGAAATAATAAGGCATGCAAGGTTCATGATATTGGTACCGTCAGATTTAAAATGTTTAATGATCGTGAACTTCTTATTCACAATGTGAGGTATGTTCCAGAACTCAAGTAAAATTTGTCATCTATAAGTATGTTTGATGATCTAGGCTATTGTACTAGAGTTGAACGTGGAGCGTTGAATATTTTGTGTGATGAATTGATTATTGTTAAAGGGTCTAAAATATGTAGTTTATATATTTTAGAAGGTTCAAATGTTATTATTCATTCATCGTTAACTAGTGGAGGCTTTCGTGACAAGGAAGATCTATGGGATTTGAGTTTAAGGCATTATGAATGCCTTGAGAAAGTTTAAGAGGAGTATAGTGAATTTTGCAGGAATCAAGGGATAAAAATGCATGTTACCGTTGAGTTGTTATTGAGCTTTTAGGGAAGAGCTGAGGTTAAAACAACTTACTTTGTTGGTAGAAAATTTCTTCAGAAAAAGAATAGTGAAAACCAAGGGAGAAACTATAACGGAGAAAACTCAATTTGAGGTAGAGTTTCCTACTATGGATGCTAGCAGTAGTGAAGGAACAGTTACAGAGATCTCTGATTATCATTTGACTCGTGATAAGGTAAGGAGGGTTATTGTAACATCTCAAAGGGACGGTTATACTAGCCTTGGATATTATATTTGTAATGTGGTTGAAGGACTACAAGATAAAAGAAGAAAAACCTTCAGGGAGGCATTTGAAATTAGGCGGAGTCAAGGGTGGTTGAAAAATCATACTTGTAGGCTTGTTAAATTATCTAGGCAGAAATGGGTAATTGGGAACAAGTGGATGTAAGTTGCAAGATCAAGATTCAAGAGTTGCTTGAATTTGATCAAAGTTATTGATTAAAGTTTCAACTTGGTAGAGAGCAACAATGTTGTTGATTGGTATCAGCATGGTTTAAAGTCAAGATGGAGATTGTTGTAAATGTGTCGTAAAACTTTTATTGGTGAAGAGAAAGAAAACATATTTTGGAGATTGCATTTATCGTGAAAATCGGAAGAAAAGTCGAAGAAAAAAATCGACAGGTGAATAGTGATATCCGTACAGATGAATAGTGACATCTGTACAGATGAATAGTGACATCTGTACAGATGAATAGTGTGTCTGTATGATGAATAGTGTTTTCAAGTTTTTAGGCTTTTTTGATTCAGTCCATGGATCCATGTGATTTCGGGCTTTGTTTGTTGGGTATTTGCTATTGTAAAATATGTATCTCTTATATGTTTGGTGTGTGACAATCTTAGAGTTTTCACCAACAAGAGAGACCGAGGGCTTAAAAGTATAGCATATGGTTTCCGCTATGCACAAAGAAAACCTTGAATTACAACTTTGGATTACACCTTGGGTTTGAGTAATTCATATATTGAGAGTTGGAGAGGTAGGGAAATACTTGGGTAGAAAATAGGGTTGTTCTTGGGAACCTGAAGGCGAAGGTTATTTTCTTGTAACTCATATGTATTATCTTGTAACAACTTCCTGAGTATAGTGAATTGGAGAGTTGCTCTCTCCCCCATAGTAGATCGTTTGATCGAACTGGGTAAATAAACCTTTAGTTTTTTCTTGCCTTATTCTGTTATATTATTTGTATACGAATTATTATTGCTGAAGACTATTTATTTTGGTTGCTATTGTTCTTTGCCTCACAAATTGATATTGAATTTTGATCTTAATTCACAACAAGATTCACAACATAATTGAATTTTTCACCTTTACAACCCTTGAGATCTGAAATATTAAGCCTAATATCCCACTGCCACTCAACACCTTCTCGCCTACCCATGTCTTTCACCAGCCTATCCTTCAAATTTGAAGCCTCAAATAATACAGGGAAAAGACTTCTCAATGTGGACAAACAAATCGAACGGGAATTTCAAAAGGGAGCAGTAGTTCCATCACCCAATTTCCAAGATAATTGTCTATTGAAATCATCATCCTCCA